TCCACTTTCTTTTGTAGAACACTAATAAAAGCCTATCATTTTGCAGTCTGCCTACATTTATACACTTCCATTGGAGGGAGAAAAAAGTAACTGTGCTGTAGCTTACTGAGCACTTTCAGAGATAAGTGCTTTTTTTTCATTACCTCATTTACTACCTCCTTAAAGCAATCTGTGAGGTATGCAGTATCATTGCCTTTAACAAAACTTAGGTACAGATAGAGTAAATAACTTACCCAAGATCTTAAAATCTGTAAATGGTGGAACCCAGTTTCAAAATTTAGGTACATCTGGGCCCTAAGCCTGTGATCTTAACCTTTACACTATATAGCATCCCATAAATAAACTTCACAAAGTATCATTATGAATGATTTTTTTTATGTAAAATAGCTATTCATGAAGCTTTTCTTCCTATAAATAAGGCATCATTTCAAAATGGCATGTTTGCTGGCAGCAGGCTCAGGGCTTAGAAAGGTATTTTAATCAGACACCACTCATCATTACCAATAATTTGGCATTTCTGAATACCATTTTCCCAAAAGTATATGTTTAAAATATCCTTTTTGTTCTGTCCTAATTTTAAATGTTGTTTTCTGATTTCTACTGATGTCCAAACATATATTATGATTATGTACAGAAGCATCAAAAGATAACATATTTGAGAATGACCAGAGACTGAAAATTCTGAACTTTATCAGAGACTATGCAGAGCAAATATTTGAGGATCACTTTTTTGGCCTTGAAGAAAATTGGTTTCTTGTTATTAACTAAATTGGCTCTGTTGATAAAAACATGACCATCTTCACTGTTTTTTTTCATTGCTGCCCCTTATTCCTTATTCCTCATTATTTTCTTTTTTTCTGTAATAATGAAATATCAATAACTTATTTCTGTTATCTGCTTTGTGACACATGAGCTGGCCTAGAATGACAACCTCCTCTTCCACATCTGCATATTCTCTCCCAGCCCTTAGTCTAAGACCATGTCAAAACTGGGACATATTAAGCTTTTATTGGATAATGTGCTTTAACCAACTTGTTTTTACATTACACTATTACATTTATAAATACATTTTATTATTTTACAAATTTAAGACATGGAGATGAAATCAAATCACCTCTGACAGCCACCTTCAACTTTTAGTCCTACCATCCCCATAGGTGACTATCTCTATCACAATTTAACATATTTAATTCCCACCCTTTGTTAATGCTTTTACACATACATCAAATGAATCTTGAAATATTATATAATATTGCTTTTTATATGGCTATGTATTTTACACACTGTAATATAACATCTTAGAATTTAGCTTTTTTTTTTTGGTCAAATATAGGCATGATTCATTCTTTTAAATTGTTGTATAGTATTTCATAGAATAAAAATGTTAAGATTTATTTAACCATTCCCCTATACAGAAATATGTAAGTTCTCTCCAGGACTTTATTATTACAAACATTGCTGCAACATCCTTTTTCAATGATGTATATAAGGATTTTACATACTCTAGGATAGATATTGAGAAGTAAAATTTCTAGGTTGTGACATACATCTTAGTTGAAGAGATATTCCTGTTCTAGGAAGTTATATTAGGGTCATAAAGGCTCAGCACTAAAGTAACAACCTCTTCAATCCCTACTCAAGAGTTATAGGAAGTCTATCAGTTTGGCAGCAGTTGTATTTTTCTGATGGAAAACATACTGCAGTGGAAATCAAAAGAATCTGAGACCAACCCTTTCTGCTGCTGATTGGGAGTTTTGCAGCCTCTCCAAGTTTCTGTTTCTTTGTCAGTAGTAATTAGAAGATAGGGCTAGAAATTATTTCTCAGAAATTTTTAGATCTACATGACGTATTTCTGTTCTTTAAGTTATTCGTTCACTGAACAAGAACATACAAAGCATATACAAGAGTCTACAATATTTCTTTAAGAACTTAACAAGAAATAATACCAGAAAACAAAGCAATGTATAAACAGATATTTCTACAAATATATGTAGGCTGCAAAATGTGTGATTTTTTAAAAAGTACAAAAAATAAACACATTGCTTATTTAGTTTGCATTGTTCAAATAAAGAAGCTGCTTGGTACACTTTTTCTGCAAACACTATATACTGAAGTGAAGTTATTGCTTCCTCCTACCACTCCACCAAGGTGGAGGCAGGGGGAAATTTGTTATAATAGGTGCTTAATATATTTTCTGTGGTCCTAAAGCTGTAATTTCCTAGAAATGCTGTGTCCAGTACTGAGAGAGTTCTTGGAGTTGTTTCTCATGTTCTCCAGATTCCTAGTTTCCCAAATTCTGTTTCAAGACCCATCTGTTCCATTATCTGCCTAAATATAAGCCCTTTCCTCTGCTGTATCATCAATTATAAGGAGTACATACACATGCTGAATAAAGAAGGGGTCAGCAGAGGGGAAGTACAGGGAAAGGATTTTCTCAAAAAGTGACTTGGTGAATATAAATATTCAGTAAAGACCGAAGAGAAAAATATAACCATTTTTTATCCAGGTTTTTCAAGATTTCTCCCCTTTAGCACTGAGCCCATACAGTCTCTTCATTTATTTAAGCTCTCTTTGAAGTTGTAGGAGCATGAAAGGCAAAAAGACTATATGAGGACAAAAACATGACTCAAAATGCAGACAATGTAATTTGTAACATGGAATTATCAGTCAGCAGAAAGGACAGATAGGAATAAATTATAGAAAATATAGTTGCATTAAAATGAGAAAAATCACATGATGGTATCAAGACTGCATTTAACAATCACAACACAAATAATAAAAAACCTAACCAGGACAGAACCATAGGTAAGTTTGACAATGCCATACTTGATTAAACAGATCACAGGTTACTTTCAATTTAGACAGTGTCTACACGCACAAAGTGGAAACTTGAAGCATTCTCTGAGTAGGTGATTTTAAAGCAAGATTTCACAAAACATATCAGTTGTATCAACTTGGTTAAGTCTAATTCAGTTCTGGAAATGTTTATTATGCACCAGGCATTCTATTACCTGCTAGACACATAAACATGACAAAACCTGATCACTACCAAAATGATGTTGCCTTCCATCAGAAGTATGTCTAAGTTCTCAAATCTCAAAAACAAATTAATTTTAGAATGTGTCATCTTTAAACAAAAGAAAAGCCTAAGAGAGAGAAAGAGAAAAGTTATACATACACTTTACAAGAACTCAGCATAATTAACATAATATGTAAGTAATAACAGCTCCAAAAACATTAGGAATAGCTGTTCTGAATAATTCAAGAAAATATATTTTGCACATTTTAAAAAATTTTGTAATCACCTGCTTGGGGGAAGCAGGATAGTGGCATGGAAAGAACATTTGACCAGAAGTAAAGAAATTAGGTTTTAACTATTGGTTTTTCAATAATTTGCAGTGTTCACTTACATAATTAATTTCACTTTTATAGACTGAACATTTCTTTAGCTTTAGACCACTGGATTTAATACTCATTGAAGACCAAAAAGAAAACTATAAAAAAATTTTAACCTTGCTTTTAAGATTCCTCTCCTTTAGCACTGAGCTTTGTGGAGTCTGTGACCTTGTGGGGTCTCTATTCCAGTAAGAGAGAAAAGAAATTAAAATTATCTCTGGCCCCTTCCAGCTTTAGCCCAACAACTAAGTCAACTGTTAGAAAAGTAGCCGGAAAGGGTAGTCCTTACAGACCAAGTGAAGTTGAAAGATGTTCAATTATTCAGTAGACCATCTGCTGCTCTTTGTATCCCTTACCTCATTGTACAGGAGACTCTTGCATTGATCATAAAGACACAGGGAAGACAAGCCTCAAAACTGGGGCTTAGCACAGGATGGTTCTTGGTTTTGCTAAGGAAAACATTCAAGGGTGAGCTGGTGGTGTTGGACAGCAACTTTTAGTGAAACGGCAGCATACAGCAGCAGCAGACGTGATGTTTCTTGGAGAGCAGGGTTACCCTATAATGCAGTGTGCCCCAGAAGAGCAGCTCAGGAAGTTCTGCAGCCATATTTATGCCTATTTTAATTATATGCAAATTAAGGGACAGATTATGCAGAAATTTCTAGAAAAAGAGCAGGAACTTTCAGGCTGTTGGGTTATTGACATGGAAAGGAGCAGTAACTTATGGATGTTGCCATGGCAATGATAAGCTGATATGGCACACTGGTGGGCTTGTCTGATGGAGAGGTGTTTCTGCCCTATCCCTGTTTTAGCTGGTCCCTATTGTGTTCCAGTGTATGAGCCCCTCCACAGTTGCATCTCAGTTCCTATCTCATAAGACTTTGTGAATACAGTATTTAATAAATTTGATATTTTGGGATAACAGTAAATCAGATAATTCATACATAGTTTCAATTCTCCATTTCAAGATTATTTCTTAATAAATTGAAGCCACTTTTCTAAGCATAAAAAATGGTAAATATAATTTAATTTTTATTTGGTTCTGTTCATTAAAACTGTATTTAAGTCTACATGACATAAAAGTTAATAATCTCTGAGATCTATTTCTTTACTTAATTTTTGCATGCTTCTTATAAATGTGGAACGCAGTGGAAAAAAATCCCACTAGATAGTCATTTTATCACAGGCCTCTAACTTGCTGCTATAATATGAATTTAATGAATTCATTCACACAAATCAAAACACCTCATTGAAATTCTATTCATGGCTTGCTTAATTTAGGATTATCATTTCCAACTGATATTTCCCTTTTTATTGACATTTAATCTCCTGTTTGTAGATGTAAATTTGAACTTATTCATTTGATGTTACCATGAGATAAGAAAAAATGATCCTTATTTGGTGAAATGTGCAGCAATAAGGTAGAGATACTATACTGAAATCTTGTACATGCTCAATAATTTAACCATTTTTACATTCTCCTCTTTTCTCATATATTTTCTTTCTGATTAGACTGGACATGTTTTAATTCGTTTTTTCACACTGTCAACCTTTAAATAGCCATTTGCCTCACTCACAATCATTAATGATATGTAATGTCTCACAGGTAAAATTAAATTAATTCAGCTACCAGAAAAATACCAGAGAAATAAATAGAGAAGACCTTCCCTCATTCTTCTATGATTTCCCAAGTTAGACTCTCCCACACTGCAAAGACACTAACTACTAAATCTCCGGTTCATCATCCAAGTGAAACTACAAAAAGGGGCATAGCCCAGAATAAAGAGGTACGTCTTACAAGCCTAACAGTTGGCCTTTTTGCTCTGTTCTCACTAATCTCAGAGGTCTCTAGGGAACTGCTTACTTCTCAAGTCAAGAAGCAATCATTTAAGTCAATGAAAATGAATAAACCCATCTAAAATGGGTTATCATCATTATTGTGGATATTAATACCATCAATATAATTAATGGTGTTTATTAGAGGTGATATTTGTACCAAGAAGGTAACTGAAAAGACACACTAGACTTAACACTACAAAATGTATATGTGCATGTTCAGTGTAAGGGAATTTTCTTAAAGTAAGCAGTGTGAAGGGTTGTGCTAGCATTCTAAAGTAATAGCAGCAAAAAATTCATGGAACAGCCTAGTTAGCAAAGAAGAATCTTAAAGAGATATTTCAGAGACTCATTTGTGAATAATTGTATTCTGCAAGATGAATTTTAGGTCTCACATTTAATATGTGTCTTATTGGCCTGTAACCATGTCATTACTAGAATAAAAATTCTCAATTCTGGGAACAACTGAAATTGCTATTAAGAATGTGTAAGTCTTTCCATATAAATGCTTGGGCATGTCTGTCTCACCATTTGCTGCCTGCATAATGTAGAAGATATTAAGATTTCTGTTTAAGGCTAGTAATAAAATGCTTCTGAAATATATTTTACAAATATAATTATTAAATGCTCTATTGTTTCATTCAAAATAATCCTCACTAAAGCTTAGTTTGTTTGATCTCAACAGTATATTATGCAATGAAATCAAAACATCAACCCACATGATCAACCTATTTAAGATAAATAGAAAAAAGGAAAAGAAAGAAAACACTTGGGATAGAAATGTTTTTTCTATCTAAATTGTTAAGACTATTTTATATCTTATATTAGTATTTCTTCATCTGTATAAGTATTAATTCAGAAGATGATTATAAAAACAGGAAAATAAGATACAATTTGCATAGCCAAAGACAACAAAATGCAAGAATAATGTGACCATATTCTAGTGTTACATTCAGTAACTATTACCTTAGTAATTACTAGGTCTTGGAATACATAAGAGAACAAAAAAGACAAAATCCATGACCTTGTAGAACCTCTATTACAGTCTGTACTTAAACGTGTTTATATGTAATATTAACCTGCCCATCAGTTCCTTTATCACAATCAGTACAAAGGAAGTGCACTTTCTGTCAACATCTCCCATAGCTACAAAGAAGGCAGCTAGTGTCATAAGAACATAGGATAGAAAAGATTACTGGTTACATATCTATATGTCTAGCTGCCTCCAATGGATAATACCATTTCTAGCTCAACCTCTTTGGAGGATGTAGTTATAATACAAACATTAGTACAAATGTCTTTTGAGAAAAATAAAATACAGACTTTGTATTCAGAACTGCTTAATGTAACATTCTGGAATATAAAACGTTTTGGCCTTTGGAGTCATTCCTAATCATTGTCATCTGGATGAACGCCATGAGCCAACAACTGGATGTGTTTTTTAAACAGTAACCACATCTCCTATTCCTCCCTTACATTCTTTCACTCGCTTTTTTGTTGGCAAATAGGAGAAACTAAGGGACATCCAGTGGTGTGACTAAGTTCTGCTTGGTGAAGAAGAGCTACTAAATTCTGAGACATAGCAACCCTGATTCAGAATGATCTGGATGATTTTAGGACTTTAACTTTTTTCTATTAGGATGTAACTGTTACCATGTTAGTTACATAAAGATGACAAAAAATAAGCAACTATGAAGTCCTCATCTGTCATCAAGAAGTACAAATGTTTTTAAAGCAACTGCTATGTACATCGCATGCTATATGGCTCATAGTGGTAAAAGACCGTCTCTGTGGTATAAATTTGTAAGAGGAGATAAACTCTCAAAAAAATTAAAATGATGTCATACCCACACCTACACTCACTAGTCACCTTCTATTCAGACTACACTTGCCCATAGAGATAGAAAGCTCAGGAAAAAAACTTCGTATTTGGAATAGATGGAAAGATGGCAATAAGCTCATAGCTCAATCTTCATGCTCAATCAACTAATGTTTACTCAGTAGTCAGAGACATCTGGCACAATTAAAGATTTGCAATGGCCCCTGCCCACAAAGGAGATTAAGAGATAATAAGGAAGAAAAACAGAAAAAAATACAATAAATGCAAATGAACCTAGGTAAATCACAAAATTAAAAACAAAGCAGGTTAAAAGGAGGATTGTGTTTGTGTAAGAGAAAATAAATTCATTTTAAACCTTTAATCTTGATCCTTGAAATTTTAAGAATTTTGGTAATCGTTTCCCAACATTTATACAGCAAGTTATTTAAATTAAATTAGTCTTGCTATTTTTCATTCCAAATCTATTTAAGTCCTTTGTCAGGCTTTCTGACCAAGTAATTTGTATTATTTTTTATTTTCTTTTCAGCTTTTCATGCTTAACAATGCCTAGTTTTAATAATAACTCACAATCATAAGTCAAGATGGAAAAGAAAATCTTATATTGTAAAAGGAACGTTATAACAAAAACAACTTTGAGATGACTGATAACAGAGGGAGAAATTCTCTGTATTGAAATCAGCATTCCCCCGGAGATCTTACATTTCAATACCAAGAAATTGCTTCAGATCTGAAACATCTATTCTGTCCTCTATGTAGAAAAATGATGATGGTATCATAATGGTTAAATTCTTCCAAATTACAGTGTGATGCAGTAGTTAACTTTTTATTTCCACACAATTACTAAAGCTATTTGAAGAGTGAGTTGATACCCCTCCTGTGCAATAACTAAAGTTCCCTGGCTCCGGTGAGACTCGAGGTATAGATCCAGCCTGTGACTAATGGAAGATCCTGGGTATTTGTCAGGCTACAGTCTGTAATATAGTATCGGCACCATCCACCTAGTGGTAGGCAAGACAAGAATTGATGATAACGACTCTTTCCTCATCAGCTATGACTCACATGTTTTCCAGAGTGTGTAAAAGAAGCAGGTTGACCACAAGTTGTGTCAGACAAGATATTCAATGCAATTCGGTAAAAACAAACAACCCTTACTGTTTCATTTATCCATTAACATTTCATTTTGGAAGCTCACTGAAACAGATTCAATCTTTTTTAAAAATGGAGGGTGGGGGGAAGGTGGTATGGTGGGAACTAAGAAAATACAATGCCAAATGTGGGTGAAGGGGAGGAAGGGAGCAAAACACACTGCCATGTGTGTACCTATGCAACTATCTTGCATATTCTGCACATGTACCCCAAAACCTAAAATGCAATTAAAAAAAAAGAAAATACAAGACAAAGTAATACATTTTCTGCTGCTTGTAGTGTATAGTGCATGTAGATATGATATGGGAAAATACCAGTCCCCAAGTTGCAGCAGCCTGAAAAGCCTAGTGCTCAGGCTGTATTTACAATCTGAGGGGAGACAAACCCTACACAGGCAAATAATTCCCTTTAATATCATGCTAAGGAAAAGCCAGTTAATCTTTACAGAAGAAGAGAATGATAAAAAGCATAACATAGGTGAAATGTATTTTAATAATTCACTTAATGAGTAACATACTAATGGCAATAAGCTTAGCAATTACCTTTATTTAATAGAATAGATGAAAACAAATACATAATTAGATGCCAATGTCATTTTCTACAGCTCTCAGTTTCCTATCAAAACCAACAAAGTTCCAATTTCCAGCGCTTTATTTATTTTCTGTAATTTGTAATTTAAAATAGTATAAAATGTTTGCATGCTTAGACTCCATGTGAAACATTTCTGACTAAAGAAGTATCCTCAAGCAAATATGTTTGAATTTGACTACATTCACAGAGAGCTTACTATTTTTTTTGAAGATAGAAAAACAAATTTTAAATGCTTTTATATATCGAGCTAGCAACACAGGTCAAATATAAAAACAGTGATTAAATAACTTCAGTATAAATTCACTGACATTTTTTTACTTTAAAAATTAAAATGAGAGGTATTGATTCTACTGAATAGAAAGCACTTTAAGATCTATTTTTAATAATCTCAGAATAAGGCTAACTACAATATTTGTCTATGTACAATGTCTTCTTTTATTTGCACCTTAATATCTCTGAATGGAATAAGAAGAAACTAGCTGTGTTTAACTGACGTTTGTTAAGCACATTGTGTTAAGGTGCAAATAAGATTTATTTATGTGTCTACTTGTGTGACAATAATTCAGATTTTTCCAAGCTGAACCTGAAGAGGTTGCTGCTTTATTTGCAGTAATAATATTCTTTATTTACAACCTGATCTTGATACATGGGTCCTAGAGAAAATACTAGAGGGTAATTTTCATTTTGTTGTGTAGTACTTTTCATTAGGAACTGATACATCTCAAATTTAAAAATTTTAATGAATCATAAAATATGTGATATTTTAAAAAAACAGTACTTTGCTTTTTGACTATTGATTAAGGAGCCATAAATATGGGTAATATACAAATTCCTGCTCTGGAAAAAGCTATAATGTAGTACAAAAAAATTAAAATTATATATTCTTGTAACAGAAAGGATGTGGCACAAAAATATCCTAAGAGTTCAAACAAGAAAAAAGCCCCTAAGAATTTGATGTACCAGAGATCTTTACGGTGGGATGAAGACAGGTTAGGGCATATGGAATAGAGGAAGAAAGGGAGGATATTCCGTGCACAGCAAACACAAATGCAAACATATGAAGATGGAAAGGCACGTGTTGTGTCAGGGCATTAGTGAAAAGTCCAGTTTTATTAGAATGTAAGAAGACTATAAGGAAGTCATTGGAAATAAACAGGAAAGTAGGTGGTAGGTAAATTATGGCAGCCTTGAATTTCTGACTAGATTCTGAAGTTATGAGAAGTCATGAAAAGGGTTTGAGCAGGGGAAGTGTATTAGTCCATTCTCAAGCTGTTGATAAAGACATATGCAAGAGTGGGTCATTTATAAAGGAAAGAAGTTCAACTGACTCACAGTTCAGGATGACTAGAGAGTCAGTCCTCAGGAAACTTGTAA